TCGTCCAAAATCAGTTCTTTGATGCTGTGCACAGACTAATATTGCCAGCTCGTCACGTGACCTATCATGAGATAGAGACCACCATATAAGCATTTGTGGGGACATCGTCCCTTAAATTCAGTATTTCGTGGATATGTGAGTGTAAAAAATATTGTTCTTGTTGGATCCCACACAATTCGCTGACCGCTCACAAAAAAGCTCGTGTCGATTGATCAAGAGAAATGTTAAAAAATACTAAAATGGTGCTTCGAAATATGCCTATGATAAGGACTGGGGATTTAAGCATATGCTCCCGAAGGTAAACAGCAGACGATTGTATGGGTATTTAAAGATAAGCCAAATTCGAGAAAAGTCGTTCGGGCACGAAGCAGTTCCAGGTAAATGGTTGCATCTTCTTTTGCTTTAAGCATACCACTAGATCCACGCGAAACAGTTAATTCTGAGTGCTACACAACCATTTTTTTGCCATTTGTCTTGCCAGAGACAAGGAAAACCAATAAAGCGATTTTAGATAATTCAAAATCGCTAAATTGGTCGAAAGAGACCGGCATGGTAGCAGTCGTAGGATTGGTCGAGAACTGGGCATGAGTCATCAAAAAAAAAAACAAATTATGAACAATTGAAAATTGAATAAAAATACCGCAAAAATACCGCAAGACTTTTTTGACAACCCATTATGTTTTTTTCTCTAATCCCGAAGTAAGTCAACCTCGTTTATTATATATATCAGATGGGTATTGACGCTTTCTTAATAAAATTATCTACTCACCGAAGTGTTCTCTCAATAAATCCATTGGTTGATGCAATGTGTTAGGAGTGACGCTGTCTGGTTGAAACCAAATGTCGCTTCAATTTCAGGCATCAAAAAGTCGGTTATCGTGTCGCGACAACGGTCACCATTGACTTTTACCTTTTCACCGGCATTATTTTTGATTCGACCGGCCCACAAGCCACACCAGATCCCTTTTTTTTCTGCATATATTCCTAACTCTTGAATCTCTTCAGGTTTCTTTACGTCCCAATTGCAACAATTACGCTTGTTTACATGCGCATTGTGTAAGAAATGGGAATCATCGCTAAAGTTTCGTTCTAAAAGATGGGATCTTCTTGGAACTTTTGAAGTGGTCATTACGCGAAGCGAAGTTTCTTTATTTGTACGATTCCAATTTCAGATCTCGACTTAAAACACGCCAAGTCATTCCATATGTCAGTCCGAGTTGCTGCGAATGACGCCGAATCCCACTCTCTACGGTCTTCGTGTACACTCGCAGCTGCGGTTGTTATATTTTCTTCACTGCGTGCTGGACGTGGTCTATTCCGTTGAATATTATCCTATAATGAATGATTGGTAAAGGTGTTTCGAATAGTATGCTCAGTAGGCCGATTATGTGGACCATAAGTTGAGCGAAACCCATTCTTTATCGATTCGAAAACGTTCTTCAGACTTCAGTCTTTCCATGATGAAATTTCAAGAAATGCTGAACGAAAATAACATAACAGCTTGACACGACTCCCGCGAAATCTGTCAAAAAAGTTTATTAAAAAAACTACATCCACTTGGATTACCCGTTATAAAATATTTTAAACAAATTAGTTATTTATTAATATTTTATTAAATATTTTAAATTGTATTTTTACTTTAAACATTTCCCCTTTTCAGACCTGAAATTTGGTATTTACGCTAAAAAATAATTTTAGTTTTCTTCCACAAAAATATTTTGCTGTGAAAAAGCTCTAAAAACCTCTACTTAAAAATTGAATTACATTTTTATTAAACTTTAAGAGCAAATGTTCATACTAAAATTATTAAAAAAATATTTTAATACTTTTCCAAGCAAAGCCTTTGTGCTTCTCCTTTACCTTCAGGCAGGAAGCACAGCGCACTTGCCACATTTTTCTAAGTAATTTAAATTTTATTTTCTGCATTAAAAACTAATTCCATTTGAAATAAGTTTCTTCACACATTTCCTCAAGTTTCAATCTACGCCTGCACACATACAAACACACACATACACATGCATGAAACTTCACCATAAATCCGTGTATTTCTGCCACTTTTATTGCACCGTAAAATATTCCATTTGTGGGTGTATCTAACCCACACATCGATCCCCACAAAAGGGGTAATAAAATAAAATTTCATAAATAAATACAAAAATCGAAAACCGAAAGCAAAGAAGGCAAAGAAGGCAAAAAAACGCCGAAAAACGTCAGAGAAAATGTGAGCCAACCGAAAGCAGGCACGGAACTTTCGGTTGGTCGGTTGGTTGCTGGTTTGGCTGGAGCCACACCAGTTTGTGGGGGGAGCTGCTACCAATTTGTGTTGGAGTTCTGTGGCATACATCGAGCAGTCACACACATACACATAGACGCACACACATACATTGGCGCATGGTTGCCTGCCGGTAGGAGCTGCAGCGGCAGTGGTGACGTAGGCGGCGGCAGCATCGCTGTTTGGGACACTAATGTATACAATTACCACCACTACTGCTGCCACAAAATGCCACCACAGTCACACAGTCAACTGGCGGCGGCTGCCGACCGAACGATTGTCCGACCGCAGCGCCGCAGCGCAGCTAGAAAAATGCCAGCAGTGGCAGACCGTACACACACAGAGGGTACATAGACTAGGCAATAAGACAGCGGCAACTGAGATGGCTGCCGGTGGCAGATTTGGCTGCCCCTACAGCAATAGCAACAACAGCATGTCATGTTAATTGTGCTGGTGACGCAGGCAGGCAGTGGCAACAATTGTCGAAGCCTGTGACACACTGCAGTCTAACTCCATGCGGGTGTGTGTGTGTGTGTGGCATGTGAAAGCAAAAGCAAGAAAGCTCTTTGCGGCGCACCAATGGGACCACGTTATGCCCCGTCGGCACCACCGCCAACAAGCAACAAAGCCAACACACACATAACGGTGCAGCCGACGCAAACAATTCAGCTACCAACAAAATATGCGACACGACAGCGACAACGAGACATCGACGACCCACATTTTCACAATCGCACACATACACACACACAAACGAGCATATATTTATACATAAATTAACGTATGTGTTTGTGGTAGCATCTCTCGCCGCCGCTACCAATGCCACCGCCACTATCACAGTGGTACCCCCCTCTCACATCCAACCGTGCATTTCAATACACAGCCTAACCACGAAGAAGGCTTAAAAGGCAGCCGAAGTATGGCGAGCTCACATGCGACCAAATTGTCGTGTCAGTCGCTCTATATGGTCCCCCGTCCTCTGCGATTTTTCTATCTCTCTCACTGCCGTTGCGCTGCGCTCGTGCTCCAACCCACTGGCGGAGCCGAAGAATACAACACAAACTGCGACCAACGTGGCTAACCCTTTATCGCACATGGGTTTCCTTACAGGACCGCATATTTAAGGTTTTAGTGGGAGTGCAAGCAAAGCCACTGCCATTGCAAACTTGGCTAATATCTACACTACCACATACACTCATACACACACACGAGCTGACAAGTGGTTAGTACGAATTCATACTCAGGCATTAAACTCAAGTGTCGTACTCGTATTTCTGTGGTATCGGCGGTAGACTCTTTGCCAGCACTGCCTTAGCCGCCGAAGTGAGTGCATAGCATTCACTCGTGAAAGGATTGTCGATAAAGCGGTTCCGTGGCGGTTGCGTAGACCTCTTCATATGTTTGGTGTTTTAATGTTTCGAATTACAATTGAGAGACTTTCGAGGAAGACGTTTTAGTTCTCGTCTGGAAACTTTTAAGTCTTGGTTGATTTTAAGAACTACCTATATTTGAGGTTAGAAGATTGGTTAGAGACAGTAACGTCTTTGAAAATATATCCCTGGTTAGGTGAGTAGTTGCAGACAGTAACGTCTTTGAAAATATATCCCCGGTACAGTCATTTATCGTCTCACTTTCTGAATACTGAGGACTTGAGTAAAGCTGCCGGCTTTATAAAGGATTTTCTCTACTATAGGCCCCAATCAAATTAATTTTATAAAGTCTTGTTTCTACTAGAGATCCTAATCAGAGATAACGTTACGCAGAGTTTTCTAGGTCCATTCTGACAAGGATGAAGTCGAAAAAATTACAAAAATATATTGAGAAACGTTCATAAGAAATCTAGCATATGGTACTTACAACTCCCCTGGATTGACGAGATGCCGACTTTCCAAGCTAAAGGGCTTCACTTTTAAAAGAAGAAGCTTTGATCAAACATTGATCTAAAACCTGCATTGTGAGTACTCTGATCTCGTTAAAAGAAATTGGTGGTATGGACTAAAGTCAATTTCGCTGAAGCCTGACTCTTGAAAATTCAACTTTGTATAGTCGAGAGTGCACTTTACTGCTTAAATGCCTACACAGTCCGACGGAGCTACTGTTGGCAAGAGTTATTCTGCGTTGGATTAAGAGCTTAACATTGGTTTTCCAGTTAATACTGATTCCAAGATAGACGAGATTATCTACGCCTTCGAAATTATGACTGTCAACCGTGACGTGGAGAGCTCGGAGAGGTTCTTCTCAATCCTGACGGAGCTTTTGGTATTGCTCATCGTCAGTTTAGTCAGCCGTATTAGTTTTGCGGGGATACCACATTCAGAAGAAACGGCAGTTCCTTTTCGTGCTGTCAAAAGCAGCTTTGAAGTCGAAGAAGAGTGACTGTCGTTCCGTGTGTTCACGTCTTTTTGTTTTTAAGATTTGGTGTATGGCGAATATCTGGGCAGTTGTTGATTTGCCAGGGCTAAAGCCACACTGATAAGGTTCAATCAGCTTGTTGACGTTTGGCTTTCTTTTCTGTCTTCTTTCACACCATTCGCTCGATAGAACCTTATATACGATGTTGAGGAGACTTATCCCACGGTAGTTGGCGCAGATTGTGGGGTCTCCCTTCTTGTTGATTGGACAGAGCGCACTTAAATTCTCTTAGATAATCAACATTCTATAACAATTTCAAATATTTGTCTTAATCATGCTTTCGCTCCCCATTACATTCATATTTTGAATTTTTCAGGTTTCGCACATCATCTCGTCGGCATGCATAGTCACTTGCATGCGCCCGATTGGCGGGCATTGAGTAACCCAGCGGCTTTGGCGCGACCGGCCTTTGCGCACGGCGCAGCATTCTTTCATCATCAGCATCCCGCTTTCCAGGCGCACAACATCGCTGGCAATTTGGAACGGCATGGACTGCGGGCGCTAAACGGTACGATAACTGTTACAATATTTTTTTGATTTGCCTTTAAATATGTTTTTTCTCATACTCCACAGAAACCCATCCTCAACTAACACAACTGCGTCAATTATCAGCGGCTCATAGCACCACCAGTCCCGAGGGTTCGCCGACAACCACAACGATTAATTTGGGCACACAACCAACATTAACCATATCGCCGCCTTTAACCACGACCAACAGTGATAACGATAACAATAACAATATAGATGCGGGTTTCGAAAGTGATAGCATTTCGGTGACGGGCTCGTCCAAAAAGACGTCCTCTTTGCACGAAGACGACGATGGACGTAGCACTTCACCACCTTCGAATAGCGGTTCTGCCAGTGGTGGTGGTGCCTTCACGTCGCTCATACAACGAAACGAAACGCTGCGTAAAAATGAACTGCTCAATGGCTTCGCATCACAATTCTCACCGGCGGCGAATAGCTTCAATCCCGCTTTGGCGGCACAACTTTTCTTGCAGAACCCGCTTTTGCCGCAACCGAGTCAATGGCTGTATACGCAACTGTATGGTAATTACAGTGAGTTTCCCTGGTTCCGTGGTGCCGGTAATGTTATTGGTGATGGCCTAACGCCATCCATACCCGGCGCGGTACCAGCCGAAGTGTCGAATGTAACAAGTCTAACAGCCACGGACGGAGGTAGCGATGGCGTTAACTTGGTAAAGCGTAGCTTAACGCTAATCTCGCATTCGCCTGGTGTGGAGAATGCGAATCCGAATGATTCACCGCCTGTAACTTCAACGCGACACTCACCAGCGCTAGTCGAGACAATCGATCTGGACGATGTGAGCACCACATCCCGCACCGAGCTGTGGCGCAGTGAGTTCGGACCTATACGTTGCCGTACACCTAGAGCGACGGACGTCTGGCGTCCATACTAGCGGCTGCGTAACGCCATGGTGACGGCGTTAGGCTTGAAAGTGCTCGTAGAGCAGAAGGTTGAGACTCACGAAGAACTGCTGCTCGACACGAAGCAGTGATATTGAGTGTTTCGGGTGGAGCAGTGGAACGGTTGTTAGAAAAGTGAAAGTGAAGGAAGAGCAGTTAGTTTTCATATCGTACTTTAGCGCATGCCAGATGGCGGAGCGTGGACGAGTTGGCGTGATTTTAAGCTGCTTTCATGTAAAATAATTATGTAATTAAAAAGTTCTAGATTTGTACTCGCATAGAGTATGTAAATGGGGGAGAAATGTAATGTTTTATAAAACGAAGAAAATCACATATCGAATTTATTAAAGCAAGTAATGTAAAATCAATATAAACAAATTATATTACCGTTATTATTAAGAACGTAATCCAAATTCCACTCTAACTGTTAAGTTAACTTTTAAGTTGAAGCATATTTGAGTCACGTGTGCATGTATACATATGTAAAGTATATTATGTTTTGTAATTGTAGTTTAGAATGTGCACACATACGCATTTCAAGTACATAATGTGGTAAATGTACAGTTATACGAAGTAGAAATGTAAAAATTTTAAATTATAACGATTTCATAAGTATCTCATAGTGCCGTTGGCTGCTGGAGAAACCCAGTTCGCTATGAGCAATAGCTTAAGATATTCTGTTGATATTTATAGAAATACAAAACTCAAAAGATCCAATAAATATATTTAGATTTCAAGCAAGCCCCATTCTAAAGATGCAAATATTTTGTTTGATTTTGAGCGGATATAAGAGGAAAAATAATAATTTTTGAATTAATAAATGGCGAATCGAATAAGCGTGAATTGTGAGTTGAGTCTTGCCAGCTAACTTGAAAAAAAAAAAAAAAAAACAATTTCGAGAAAACCGCCTTTAAAGACGGCGCACTTCGCCTAGCTAGCATGGAGCACACAAGTTCTCAAGGCTGTGTCTCCGAAACTATATAATATACTATACATACATTGCTCTACTACCTCAAGTTTCCTGCTTAAGTTGTGTAGATTTTCCACCTGTAGCTTGTGGTCATCAGATATAAATATATATATATATATGTATATATACCACAGAACCGTATTTCAACTTTGAAACAGAGTTCTCCCCTTGAGTTTTGGGTCATCACAAAATATTTTTCGACGAAATTTTATTTGAACTTTGAAATAAATGTTTCCACTTTGAGCTTTTGGTCAACCGAAAAGTTTTTCTGTAGTTCTGAAAATATTTCACAAAAGTTTATCGCAACATTGGAACAGGATTTTCCCTCCTGAATTTTTGGTTATCAGAAATACTCTTTCCACTTAAATTTTTCTGAACTTTGAAACAGTGGTTTCAAGCTTGAGCTTTCCTAAAAAACTTTATTTTAATTTTGGAACATAAATATGCACTAGAGACTATTACTTCGGTAACGTTCAAATAATAAAATGAGGGAAGTAAGTACACGACGTGCATAGGAAAGAACTGACGTCAACTTTATTTTTCAGGGTCTGCGAGATTCTTCAATTTGTTACTTGCCTACGAAACCTACTCGAAACAAGTAAGGAAGGGCTAAGTTCGGGTGTCACCGAACATTTTATACTCTCGCATGATAAAGTGATAATCGAGATTTCAGACGTGGTTGTGAACCGATTTCACCCATATTTGGTACATGTCATCAGGGTGCTAAGAAAATATTATATACCGAATTTTATTGAAATTGGTCGAGTACTTCCTGAGGTATGGTTTTTGGTCCATAAATGGGCGACGCCACACCCGTTTTCAACTTTTTAAAAAAACCTGGATGCAGCTTCCTTCTGACATTTCTTCCGTAAAATTTAGTGTTTTTGACGTTTTTCGTTAGTCGGTTAACGCACTTTTTAGTGATTTTCAACATAACCTTTACCTCCCATACGGGCGTGGTTATTATCCGATTTCTTCCATTTTTGAACTGTATATGGAAATGCCTAAAAGAAACGACTCTGTACAGTTTGGTTGACATAGCTATAGTTTTTTTCGAGATATGTACAAAAAAGTTAGTAGGGGGCGGGGCCACGCCCACTTTTCCAAAGCATTTACGTCCAAATATGCCCCTCCCTAATGCGATCCTTTGTGCCAAATTTCATTTTAATATCTTTATTTACGGCTTAGTTATGACTCTTTATAGGTTTTCGGTTTCCGCCATTTTGTGGGTCTGGCAGTGGGCCGATTTTGCCCATCTTCGAACTTAACCTTCTTATGGAGCCAAGAAATACGTGTACCAAGTTTCATCATGATATCTCAATTTTTACTCAAGTTACAGCTTGCACGGACGGACGGACAGACAGACATCCGGATTTCAACTCTACTCGTCACCCTGATCACTTTGGTATATATAACCCTATATCTAACTCTTTTAGTTTTAGGACTTACAAACAACCGTTATGTGAACAAAGCTATAATACTCTCTTTAGCAACTTTGTTGCGAGAGTATGACAATTATATACATACCCTCTATGGATTTTCCATTTTCTGCAGAAGTATTCAAATCTCTACAAGAAAACACTTTTCAGAGAATAGTATGCTCATTGAGAACATTACCTACCTTATCTATGTAATGGCTGAACGTGTGTTAGATATTTAATGTTTAATATTTATTATACAATTCTTGCTCGGTAATTACTAAGTTATTTCGGCACCATGAACGGTTATCTGTTATTGTTTTCTCGTATCAAAGAGTTCGAAAAGATGTTACTTGTTTCATTGCCTCTCCACTTGGTTATTTTTATTCCTAAGAAAAATTAATTGCTTTAAATGAGGTTCGAATAGCAATTACCCGTCTGAGGAACAACATAGCGGCGAAGGCCGATAGATTCCCGGCCGAGCTATTTAAATACGGCGGTAAGGAACTGACAAGGTGCATGCATCAGTTTCTTTGCAACACATGGTCGGATGAAGGTATGCCTAACTCTTTGTAACCGAAGTGTGTCCCGCCAAATCTATAAAAGGAAAGAATCCACAAACTGCGCCAACTACCGTGAGATAAGTCTCCTAAACATCGCATAGTGTGTGAAAGATTAAAGACCACCGTCAATAAATTGATTTGGACTGATTATCAGTGTGTTTTTAGACCTGGAAAATCTACAATCGACCAGATTTTCACCACGCCACAAATCTTGGAAAAGACCCGTGAAAGAGAGATCGACACACACAACCTCTTCGTTGATTTTAAAGCCGCCTTCGACAGCAAGTCAAGAAATTGCCTTTAAGCAGCTATATCTGAACTAAGTATCCCCGCAAAGCTATGATGACTGTGTAAGCTGACCTTGAGCAACACCAAAAGCTCCATCAGAATCGGAAGGACCAATTCAAGGCGTTCGGTACCCAACGAGAATTCAGACAAGGTGACTGCTTTTCGTGCGACTTCTTCAATCCATTGTTAGAGAAAATAATAAGAGCTAAAGAGCGAAATATCTTCCCTCATTAAACAAACAGTCACCGCATTCCGAACTTGACTCACACGTCACTGTTGACAGTCAATACTTTGAAGTCGTAGACAATTTCGTTTATCTGGGAACCAGGAATAACACCAACAACAATATCAGCCTTGAAAACCTGAGTAGACAACTGAGAAGTAAAGTACACTCTCGACGAACAAAGACCAAAGCCGGCTAGGCCATGTTGTCCGAATGGACGAGGACACTCCAGCTTTCAAGGTTTTCGACTCAGTACTCGCCGGTGTAAGCAGAGGAAGAGGGAGACCTCCACTCCGTTGGAGAGCCTTGGAGTCTCCAATTGGCGATTGGACTGAATATATATCATCATGTATCTTGTTTTTGTTTTAATGACGACAATTCTTCTTTTCATCTTCATTTCCTTTTGAATTCAAAGACAATTCCAATTTGTGAACATCCAATTAAAATTAACACAAATATACATTACTAGAAGAAAGGATTTTCCGAACAAGACATACCTAGCTGAGGAGCCAACCTAAATAAGCGAAAAGACAGGAGTATCCACAAAATACAGCGCTTTTATAAATCGTCAACACATACCTAGTTATACACATACATATTTACGTATACATTTAGGTGTATCACATATCCTTTAGTTAATGCCATGTATCCTTTTTGGGCGCTCGCACAAAAGATAAGAAGAATTTTATCTAGCGTTGAAAATTTCGAGAACAAATGACATGAAATTAACTTGACTTATGAGCTGGAACTGACGGCCAGCTGAGACCATATACATACATGTGTACATACAGCTCTCTCTCTCTCCCTCCTCTTTTCACCCTCTATCTTCATGTAAGCTCGGACACGCCGTTTGTGGAGCCTTCATTGTGTGAGCGAGTGGTGAACGTGTCTGTGGCAGGACATTAGAAATGAAATTAACATACTAAACACATGGCGAGCGGATGGCGGAGGGCAGCTGAGGCGCAGCAGCGAAGATGGGTGTCGAGCGGCAGTTATTTAATTTTAAACTTGGTGACATATGACAACCAAATATGTGTGCTAGCAGTTTGTAATCGTGCTTTCCGCCGTGCGCTATTATGAAGAAAATACCCTCAAAAGTAGCGAAAGATTTCTAACGAAATCAACACTTTGCTAACAATGTATTTTCTTCGTTTGGGTGGGAGCTGCTCGGTGGTTTTTTGTCTGGTTTTTGATTTCTCTATGCTCGGGTTCACTGTCTGCTGTCATATAATCATTTCACCTTTGACACTCAGTATGTGTTAGCGCTCAGCAACCATATTGTCGAATAGCTGCCATAAAACGTCGACAGCAACCGCTACAGACACAGTCGGTGCAAGAAGTGTGTGTCTCTGTCAAAAAAGGCGGTGTTGTGCGAGTATGTGTGTCGCTGCTAACAATGTCATGGTTTCAAGCTGGCTCCTGACAGAGTTATTACATTGTAGGCAGATGACTCCTGGGAAGACTGATGTAGATTCAGAAGTAGGTGAATGGATAATGCAACTTCCATTGCTAACGAGGTACCTGGCGGTGGGTATAATACGCAAAGGGTAGAGAACACCGAATTTAAACACTTAAAGGAACGAAGTGGGCTGGGATGTCAGTCAGTGAGAGATGAGGGTGCTACAACCGGCGGACACAGGGATTTTAGAAGTCCATGCTCCAAGAAGACTTGGGCCAAGAAAGCATTGTAAGCACTAACGCGGAAGAAGAGCTTCTTCGCTCACTTATGCATGCGGCCGAGAGTTTCAACTCTGACAACAAGAGAGGTCTTCGAAATAAGCCAAGCAAGGAGGGGTTAAAGCAAGCACCGTTTCAAGGATGATCATGTCCAGTCTGTAGGAAGAGGAGGGTAGACAGCTGGCTTGAGCTAGAGAGGTGTTAGCACTTCGACTCTCGAAACTGGTGTAATGCTTCAGATGCAACGTATGCCAACCGCATTGAGAAGCAAATCACTGCAAAGAGACAGCTTACGACGGAATACGAAATGAAAGCGCGTTCAAACAAGAGGGAGTGCAAAGATGTAGCCGTTAAACTAGACGTCAAGCACGCGGGAAAACCGACAACGTCTACCGCAGAGGCGGTAGCAATTGAGATTGCAAAATGGCATTTGACTGTCGCGCTCATAATCCGCAGTAAACCGCTGGGACAGCACTCCCGTCACAGGAGCGGTGGAAAATAGTGGGAATGAAAGTATTGGAAGTCCTCTTCTCGAGAATGGACGTCGAACCGATCGTTCCTATGCCGTCATTTGATGGAGCAGGGTGGCTTAGCGGTGTCAAAATTGTATAGTGT